AGGATTTTTATAGCATTATGATTTTCCAACATTTTATGAACTAAAATCAAATGATGGATAATGTCTAGCAGTGAAATCTAAGATGCGCGTTTCGTCCTATTTGAAACTGATTAGCTGGATGTATCTGCATCCTAGAGTTGATGTTCACTCCTGTACTTGAACTAAGTAATGTTCACTTCAAACGCTATCATGTTATCCACTTGCTTATCTTTGCTTAAAAATCTTATGACTTAAAGCTATATCGAGGTAATCCGCATAGGATGCACATATGTCAACAATGGAAAGATACAAGTAAAACAATACTAAGTGAATTTAAAATCAAATGGTTTCTAACTAATTCAACCTGTACATTCTCCTATTTAATGTCATTTCAATTGTGATTTAGGATTACAATTATTCATTAGTTTATTTATCTACTATGTTTCTTTTCAGTGTTCTTTAAATTTCAGTACATTTGCAATAGAAAAAAAGTTCTTTTTTAAATGAAATGATTCATTTCCAATCAATGAATTTAAGGTACTCTTCTCTTTAACAAATTTATTTCTAATAATAAATAGAACAGAATACCTATAAATCTTATTTTCTTTTAATAATGAAGGATCGATACAAGGTTAATAATTATTGAATATTAGTGTTTGTTGAATAACTGTTTCATTATAATAATGAATATCTGAAAACTCACCGGGGAAAAAAACTCAATACTTTCCAGTCTCATACCAAGCATAATACTATAAAGCTACTGAGTCGAGATTTAAAAGTCAAAATTTCCACCTTTGGTCAATTCATGATATAGGGAGATTGATTATGAACACAGTTAACTCGAGTGCTGTTAGAGGTGTGAGGGCAGTTTTCACTTTCCAGTCGCCCTCATCATAGAAGGGTTCTTCTGAAAGTACCTGAAAAAAATTGGGTTAGGGGTGGTCTTATTAACCTGAGAGCGTGACCACAGTGCCCAAGGGACAACTACTTAAGGTCGTTTACACACGACCTTCTTGTGAGTAATTTTCGTGTGAGCTCGTACTTGTTGAGACCTTACCGCTGGAGACAGATATCCGTGGAATAAGGCAGCGTGCATTTTTAGGGATGACCTTTTCTAACCCCACCCTTTTTTATGGGAAGGCAGCATCGCTGTTGTGCTGGTTGTCTGAAAGGAACACCTTTACTACCGTCACACCTCTGTACATTCAGCAGTACGACTTCTGCCTCGGATCTTGGGTTTACTGCTTTTAATCTTACCTCTTTTCAACCGACCTGTCTGGAATGGTAGGACCTTAAGGAACGGTTGTCCCAGCCAATATATCTCGATTGGTCCATTACGATAGGCAAGCCTGACCACCACGTCAAGGTAGCAGCAACGGTCGGGCGTGATATAGAGCGACTGACATCAATACTATCGGTGGTATCTGCCTTCTAATATAGCTAAACTCCATTAATCATAGATTCTTATTTGAAAGTTGAGTATACTATTGAAAATTAATCGCTTGTCAACATATAATTACCAATCAGAATAAAAGGTGTTCAAAACACAATTGAATTCTTTTTTAATTAGGCATATTGCTTATAGATACCATGTGTATTCTTTAGTTCCTTACTCTATCCATTCTACTTTGGTCATCAAATTTATGCTGTTCTAAAAAGAAAAAGAACATTAATATTTATAATTGATAAGAATTTATTAAGTAAGCTTACACTATTCATTTAAAAGATGTTGAAACTCATAGGTGAACTTTGACTTAACTGAATACATTCAATTATTCAAACTAAGTCGTCTTGACTCTTTTTACTTTAATTCCCAATTGAAATGTTCTTTTTTTTACATCATTTTACCATGTGTCACAATTTGTCTACTGTTTTTTTCTTGCAGTATTATTATTATCTGATAAACATTGTATTTTTGATAGACAACAGCATTTCCCCATACACATAAATATTTGTCACCACTGCGGATACAAAAATTTAGTGATATATGCGGTGGTGGAGAATATTTGTAGCTCGATATGAAAATTTTGAGGGAGTTTTATTCTCTAGGCTGGATGATTTATTCGTATATCTTTCATTATCTTCCTTGACAACATCATCAGCACACACTTCAATAAAAAGTGAATCAATAAGAATTCTCTACAGGTGATTGGATGCTTGTTCTGTTGACCTAGAATTTAGATGGTTATTGTTCATAGGTGTATGACCGTTTTTTACACATTTGTTTTGATTGTTTTCATTCCTAACCTTGGAGCTGTGTATCCTCTCCTCACCAGCTAATAGATCTGGTCAAGAGACAATGAAATTTCACGATGTTGAGACTGCGAAGATTTGTAGTTCAGGAGGATGATTTGGGTGGAGTTTCGTTCTCTGAGCTGAATGGTTTGGTCATGGAGCTTTCATCGTTCTTCGCAACGACATCATCAGCACAAACTTCAGGTAGAAGTGAAGTGTTTGAATTTCTTTACCTATGACTCACAGCTTGTCTTGTAGACCTATTGTTGGCCTTAACGTGTCATTGTTTACTTCTTTATTTTGTATCTCCCATTATTGACTTGATTCTTGGTCCTATATTTGTCTATAATCTTTCTGATTGGTTGATAAATCGGATCAATTTCATGATCTTAATCATTGAAATTACTACTATCTCCACAAAACCCCTTCTGATAACAATTTCAATGTGTTTGTTAGTTACTGATTGACCTGAGTGCCAAGCTTCTAAAAATACTCTAGTGTTTTTAGAATTGCCTCTATCTAAGATTTCAACATTTTCCAGGTTGAATGTTTTCCTGCAGTTGTCCACATGCATTGATATAAGCGAGGATATATTATGGCGTTTGACCACTAACTGATGTTCGTGCAGGCAGAGATGAAGAGGGAGTCCACTTTGTCCGATGTAGAGTTTTTCGTAGTTGGGACAATTTATTTTGTAGATAATGTTTGGTTTTTCTTTTATCATTTCATCCTTCAGTTTGCATATAATTGATTGAGGTGATTTTGTTAAGTTGTATGCTACACCGATTCCAAAATGCTTCAACAATCTTGTTGTAATTTCTGATATGCCTTTTGCATATGGTAAGACAATCCGTTCGTTGGTTTCTGTACCTGATTTTGTTTCTGCCGATGCATCTGGTTGGTATTTTTTGATGTTGATTGGGTAGTCGTTCTTTTAAAAGATAGTGTTTAGATATTTTTCTTCACTTTTCCCCGCTGTGTTGCAGTGTGTCCTCACCCTCTTGAACAGAGTTTGTACGCAGTTGATTCTGTGTGCTCTTGGGTTGTCGCTACTGTAATTGAAAATTTGATCTGTTTGGGTCGGCTTCCGATATACTTGAGTCCCCAGTTTCCATAGGTTGGTTCTGGTAATTAATACATTCAAGAATGGTAGTTTGTTGTTTGGCTTCTGTTCTATTGTGAACTTGATGTTCTCGATGACGTTGTTGATCAGATTGTAGGTGTTTTCCATCTCATCCTTTTTGACGAGGACGAATGTGTTGCCTACATAATAAATCCAAATTTTTTATTTGATCACTGGTAAAATCGAGGCTTCCAGTCTCTGGATCACTGCTTCTACAATAAGTCTTGATATTGATGATTCCATCGATTTTCCTTTCGTTTGTTCGTATATTTTGTTGTTTAATTGCAAATATGTTGTTGAGCATAAATCGATGAGTTCTAGTAAACTTTGACTTTGAAGTTTCGTGTACTTTGAGATATTTGTGTCGTTGATGAGAAGCAGGGATAGATTTCCCTTTGCTAAACTTGATTCGCTGGAGGTAAATATAACTGTCACATCAAAGGATATCACCAGTCTGTTGTCGTTGATTTAAATGTCCCTAATTTTATCCAGGAATCGGATAGGAGATTTGATCGTGTGATTAGTTGAATACAGTAATTGTTTCAATATTTGTGAAAGTTTTCTTGACAAATTGTACGTTAGCGTTCCTGAGAGTGCTACAATTGGACGTAGTGGGATGTTTGGTTTGTGTATTTTCATGAAATAATGTAATACGTTCCAATGGTAGACAATTCTTTCTACTTATTTTAATTATACCAAATCGATTTGGGAAAAGTCGATCTCAAATGTGGAAGCTTTATAGACATTCTTTTGTTTTTTTTTCTTTATTACGTAAGTGAAATATTGAGATCATTGAATTACTTACTTACTTATCGCCAATGAAGCATAGGCCGCCGACCAGCATTGTCCAACCCACTCTGTCGTCGGCCTTCTTTTCTAGTTCCATCCAATTGTTGCTCATTCTTCTCATGTCTATCTCTATTTTCCGGCGTAATGTGTTCTTTGGTCTTCCTCTCCTCCTATGGCCTTGAGGATTTCGTGTGAGGGCTTGTCTTGTGACGCAGTTCGGTGCTTTCCTCAATGTGCGTACCATCCACTTCCAGCGCTTCTTCCTGATTTCTTTCTCCACTGAAATCTGGTTGTTCTCTTCCACAGCAGGTTGTTGCTGACAGTGTCTGACCAACGGATCCGAAGTATTTTGCGTAGACAACTATTAATAAACATCTGTATCTTCTGGATGATGGATTTCGTAGTTGTCCAAGTTTCCCCTCCATACAGTAGAACCGTTTTGACATTTGTATTGAGAATTCTGACTTTGGTGTTTGTTGACAGAGAGTTGTTTTGAGTTCCATATATTCTTCAATTGTAAATATTCTGCTCTTGCCTTTCCGATCCTCGCCTTCACACCTGCATCAGATTCACCGTGTTCATCAATGACACTGTCCAGATATGTAAAGGCTTTCACATTTTCCAAATCTTCTCCATCAAGTGTGGTTCGATTAATGCCTTCTATGTTTTATCAAAGAATCTTTTTTTGCCTTTGTGTATGTTAAAACCTACTGCTACTGGACATGTAATTTAGCAACTCTATCTCGTAGAAAACTAACTCACCACAGAAAAAAAAAATTACTTCAAACCATTGAATTCAACAATAATATTTATCATTAAATTTATTCATAAATTATATAATAATTCATATTCTTTCATTTGTATTATATTACAGAATTTGATACATTTGACAATTACAATTTTGGATCTATTAAAGATTATAAACCATATGATATTCAAAATAAACGTTCAAAATTTCAAATCTTTTATGGTGATGAATATTTTAATGATATTGAATCTCCGGGTAAAACTCAAAATACACATGAAAACAATAATAATAATAATAATAATAATAATCCATTAATGAAATTCAATACTACTGATATTGAATCACATTATATATGGAGTTTAACATTTTCTCAACCAGCTTCACGTTATTATGAATTTAGACAAAAACTTGAAAAATTCAATATATCATTAGAAAGTATTAATATAATACAATCCAATAATAATAATAATAATAATAATAATAATAATAATAATAATAATAATGATAAACCATTAACATCTTCTATTAAATTAAAAGGTACTATAAAAATTAAAAATATTTGTTATGAAAAATTAGTTTATATACGTTTAACTAAAAATAATTGGAAAACATTTATTGATTATCCAGCAATATATAGTTCACAATTATCATCTGGTACATGGTCAAATACAAAACGTTATGATACATTTATATTTAATATTATAATAGAATCAGATCAACAATATTTTAATCCAAATGATAAAATTGAATTTGCTATTTGTTTTATTGCATTCAATAATAATAATAATAATGATAAAATAGAATATTGGGATAATAATAATCATGAAAATTATATTATTGAACAACGTAAACTTCATCCACATCTATTGAATATAATGAATATAGATAATTCACAATCATCTAATCTATCTATTACACAAACAAATGATTTATCTATAATCGATAAATCAATAAATATAAATAATAATACTAATACTACTACTACTACTAATAATAATAATTGTACTATAGAATATAATATACCATCTTATACATTAGATTGTCGACCTAATTTTGATGGATTCACATCATTTACAAATTATAGAGCATGGAATCATTTCTCTGGTGAAACAAGTTATTATTAATATTCTATGAATAGTCATTGATTTATTCTTGGTATTATTATTATTACTACTTGGTTTGTTTGTTTCGCCTTATTATTTTCGCCTAATATTTCTTTGTATAATTATAATGACAATAATTTATTAATTAATGAGAATAGTCATGAAATCATTTATTGAATACAATTTTTTTTTATTTTTAATGAATAATTCCAATCTATTTCGAAGTTCTCCTTTTTTTCCTTTCTTTTCTTTTACTGAAGGAAAAACGAAACAATAAACCGCTCATTTTTATTCTTCATAACGTAGATGCCCTAATATTGTCTCCCTTTTTTTTTAAAAAAAAATCTTCGTTTTTCTTTATTCATTTCTTTTCTATGTTTTTTTTCTTATTTTGTATTTCAGTGTGTTGTTTTTTTTGTTTCTCCTTCATATTGTAGTTAAAATAGAAAATAATAGAGTTTTTTTTTAGTAGAGTTTTTTGTTTATATTTAATCGTATAGGGTTCAATAATCGATGGAAACAAAAAAAAGTACTGGTCAAAATTCAACTAATATCTTGTTGTTATGCCTAGGGAAATATTTGAACTTGTCCAATTAGAGGTTGATAAAAATCAATCTAATCCATTGCTATATTATTAACTTGAATTAGAAATGTTTTATTCACATGGAATACACTAGTTTATCTATACATATGATTATGTTATGAAATTCATAGGTCAATTTATTTTAGTTATTTTAGGTGTGTATTTAATGTTTACTTGTTAATATAAAGAGCTACAAGTTCACTTTGTCATTTTAATAATACTAAATCTAATAAATCATGATAGAAGTGCGTGAATCCTGGACTTTTATATTTCTGGTGTATGTGTAACTCATACCTAGAAAGAAGAAACCAGCAAAATGTCCCTTACGGATTAATGACATATGATCTCCACTGAAAAGACATATGACTCCAGGGTATGTGTGACGCTAAATTAGAAAAAAGCAATATTCACAAAAGTTTACAAACTTTCGTAATTGAAACAGGGACTATAACGTTTGATTAGTGTTATATTTGAATTCATGTGACTTTAGATTTCTATATCTTTATAATTTCTTAGGTCAGTGGTGAGCACTGAAGACAACTTCTATACTAGGACAAAATAGTGATTTCTAATTTTTGATCAATCCTCTGATAACATTCATAGAGTCATTAAAATTCAAAGAGTTATTTTTGAGATGATGGAGACCTTTAACTCAGATGGACGATTTTGGTGAAGTTTCGTTCTCTGAGCTGAATGGTTTGGTCGTGAAGCATTAATTGTTGTTCCCAACGAAATCAACGGCACAAACTTTAGGTAGAATTGAAGTATCCGAATTTCCTCACATGTGATTAACTGCCTGTCTTATCGAATTTGATCTTGATTGGTTAATACTGACCTCTAACATGTCATTGTTTAAAATGTTATTTTGATTATCACTTCCTTTGATCTGATTGTTGATCCCAAATTTGTCCACAATTTTTCCAATAGTGTTGTTCAGAAGAAAAATGAAAGCTTCAGGATTAAATTACCTAGTTCAGAAGCGAAATCCCGCCAAATAGAGTTATTATACAGCAGTATTCCTCAACAGAACACACCCGTTAATCCACAATGGTTCAAACCTTGAAGATGAATTATTTTCAAACCTTATTAGAACACTATTTCATATCGTATTATGCTTCAAGCAGTTCAGCCAGTTTTATGTGTTAAGGTGGAAATAAGATCACAGGAAAAATTTTCCATAACTCATAACGATAAGTAACTTTGTTGCATGAAACGACAACTGATCGAAACTAGAGCACCGTGAAAACTTCGCGTCATTGGACATGCGATTCGTCTTATTATTGGAATACATATTCACAAACCTATCACGGGTAATAGAAATTAGGACCTCTAGTCTAGCATACTGACGCCTAACCTCATTGCAAAATTGAATAATCATATTCATGCATTATTATTGGTACAATGTTGTTATATTGTTGGTTGCATTCAACCATATGAATGACTTGTGATTTGTCTTACAATAATAGTATAACCTTGATCATAATTAGTTTATAAAGTATTTTTTAATGAAATAAATTTAACTCAAAACTCACATATACAGTACACTTTACCTCTGTAAATACACACTTTATGTATGAATCAGTACCTTGTGATAAAGTACACACCATTGAAGAAAACTGCATTGTTAACAAACCATTATTTATTTTTAAGCTAATATTTTGTTAATGTTAAATTTATCTTTTATAACCAGGCATATTTTAACACATGATTGTATTCCATTGATTATTTTGTAAGAGTGATTAATAGAACAATGTTTTTCGGATCTTATTTAATCACCCTAAATAAGTTGATGATATAATAAGTTTAATATTGTGTTCCTTCTTAATGAAGAAATATGAATATTACTTCGCCCCCAAATGACCTAGGACGACCGAGGGGAGATTCAGCTCTCTCTCTCTCTCTATCGAAATACACTCACCGCCAGCGTAGTAGGACGAAAAGTGGATGTACGGCGCTTTAACCGAGTTGATGGACATGGGGATCCACCTAGGGGAGTTGGAAAACCCTGATTCCAAACCAATGGTGCACATAGGCTCCAGTATCTCGAGGGAACAAATGGCTTACGAACTTATTGTTGGTCACTGGCTACCATTCGACTGTATCTTCTTACGCTGCTCCACTGCCCACTGCATTAGACCTTTAGTTAAAAGGCTCAGAGTGTGGCTCCCTAAGGAAATCACCTGTTCCGGTTAGGCCACCCGGTCAGTATTCCAGTCCTCATACAAATATGTATTTGGTGCCTCCTTGTACTAATGTTCATGTTTAAATAAATAAATAAATAGAATATTACTGTTAGTTATGAAAAACCGATCTCAAAAATCCGAATAAGACAAATGACACAAAGTGTTATATAATACATTATATATATGACGTATAACTCTAGGATTACTTGTTTAATCATCGAGACAATGATTAGCTTTCAGAAGCAAAATACAGTACTCTTTTCGTATTGAGCAGAGAATTATTGGTTTAAAAAATGAACTTAATTGAATTTATCAGTTAACAGGCTACAGTATACTCACTTACTGAACTATAAATACTAATCAGGTATTGAAGAAATACAATCGCTAAGAATCAGTAAGAGGAGACTGTACTAAATTCATCTGCTATTTTTTAAAGATGACTTTACAAACTACATTACTATGAATAAAATTATCAGTTTCAAGCATCTTTATTTACTTATTGTGAGGTTCAACAAGATTTTTGGTAATTTTAAAAATCTCATACTAATTTTCCTACTAATATGATAACTTCACATAAAGAGCATATAACCCAGATATTACCAAGATCTGTTACATAATCACAAACAAATATGTTCAAATTATAACGATTTTTCAGTCAATAAAATTAGTCACAATTCAATTCTCAGTATATTTAACGATACGGATGTCATCCTCCTTCTAATTTTGAACATTTCTTCCTCCTTTTAGAATTTATTTAACCGTATACAAGTGAAATATTTTACTTACTCAAAAGATTAACAAATATAAACTTGAACTATACAAAAACGTATCTTAATTGATCAAACTAGAAATTCTCCTAATCAATAATTACAAGTAACTTTCAAAGCCTACATAATAATCTTTATGTATACAAATCACATTTGTTTAATGTTAAATAAAAGACAATTAAACCATGGAAGTTATTCTCTTCTATTTTCTTTTTTCCTTTAAAAGATACAAACTTTGTTAATGTGTCTTATTTCCATTGATATTATTATCGGCTAAATATATTATGTAAGACAAAAACAACTACATTAATGTCAATATACAATGTATAATGTATAAATGTTAAATCAGACTTACCTATTTTATTTGTAACCAAATTCATTTATTAGACCTGATTGTATCTAGGTCAAAAATTATTGAAATATTTGTATAGATTTTTTTTGATATACCGTTTATTTCAACCAGAAAAAAAAACATTGAATATTAAGCTAGAATTTATTTGATTTATAGTTTAAATAACAGAATTAAACTATCATAGACAAATATAATCGAAACAAACCCTTAGTAACAAAATGTCAAATCATTATGTTAATAATATTGAAATACTTATTTTAAGACATTTGATTTAATGAATAATCAAATGTTCAAGTTAGACATTAACACCGTTGGATGCTGGCTAGCTTAGTGATCTAGTGGTTAAGTGCTTGCGCGCAAAACTGATAAGTCCTGGATTCAAATCTCTCAGGGGGCTGGATCATGGATGCGCACTGATGAGAAGTCCCACAATAGCATGAAACGGCCGTCAAGTGCTTCCAGGTTTTCCATGGTGATCTAGCTTCAACTGACTCATAATACCAACCATTAAAATTACTTATTTTAAGACAATTGATTTAATAAATAATCAAATGTAGTTTGAATAGTGAATTGCTTGGTTTGTTAAAAAGCTCTCAAATATAATCAAGTTGTTTATTGTATAAACGATTACCACAACACGTAATGCTGACTAGTGTTGGGGATGGTTGAAAGAAATTTAGGGGAAATCAAACCAAAACGTAGCATCATTCCGTAAAGTCACAAACGTTTAATTTGAACTATGTTGATAGATGCATACTACTTGGTTGGGGTCCGCGTGACTATCGTAACCAATGGTTGAAGACTCTGGGTGACATGTCTCAGGACCGATCAAAATGGCGTCCTATATACACTCTTTGTCTTCGGTTAAACCGTGAGATTAAAGTTACTTGATACCTTTCTTTCTACCAAATAATTCTTTCTTCCTGTATTATATCATTATGTACAATCTTTCTTCTATACATTACTTCTATTGAAGTGACTACTTCTATGAATTTGGTGTTGATCTTGTTGTGCTAATGAGGTGTGGCAACTTGGACCGATGCATATATGTGCCTGGTCGTACGCTGTAGCTGACTGACTGACTTGGTTGGAATCTGCGCGACTGTCGTAATCAATGGTTGAAGACTATGGGTGATATGGTATAGAATCGATCATAATGACGTAGATGTATACACTCTTTGTCTTCTCTTAAGCCATGAGATTAAAATTACTTGATACCATTCTTTCTACGAACTAATTATTTCTCCCTGTATTATATCCTTATCCTTTATACATAACTACCATTGAAGTTACTATTTCTATGAATTTGATGTTCATCTTGTTATTCTAAAGAGGTGCGGCAACTTGAACCAATGCATATATGTGCCTGATCCTACGTTGTAGCTGACTAACTTATTGTATATTAGTGTTACAAATTTGCTGGTTATAGGTTTATTAAATATTCGATAAAAATGAAAAAAAAAGTAATTGCAATTAAAACTGAAAATCATAGTGAAATCATTAAAATATCAGGGAGTTAATGAACAACGGATTAAATTAAGTATTATATAAATTACTAATAAAAAGTTATCTGATACAAACAATTATAAACAACTTTATCTCAGGTAACATATGAATACTATATGTATATTATTGTTAGTATAAGAAGATTGCTCAGATTATTTGATTTATATTGCTGATTTTAACTGAACACCTATTTAAAAACAGTGAGTAGTGGAAATTAGTTTGGCTTTAGCTTGAAAGTCTACAAATGTATACACCCATGCATACTAACTAGGTCAATTGTTGAACGATTAGGTTTCATTGTAAGTTTGAAATATTGATAGTTCTCTTTATGTAATGAAAACAGAACATTTCCAACTTTATTGTCTCTATAGGTCACGGAAACCTACAAGAAATACCTGAATGTTATTTTGATGATATTTAGTATCATATATTTTAATGGAGTTCAATTGAATAGAATTCATTACTCTACATCAAATTTATTGCCTACGAAAAAGTATTTGATAGCATGGACAGAACAACCCTATGGAAGCTTCTTCGACACTACGGCGTGACTCAGGAGATAGTCAATATTATACGGAATTCCTACGATGGATTAAACTGCGAAATCGTTCATGGAGGACAGTTGACAAACTCCTTCTAAGTAAAGACCGGTGTCAGGCAGGGTTGGTTATTCTCCTTCTAATCTTTCTCCCGTTGATCCACTGGATCATGAAGACGTCAACATCTGGTGGAAAACATGAGATACAGTGGACAGATAGAATGCAACTGGACGATCTAGAATTCGCAGATGATCTGACTCTTCTATCGCACACGCAACAACAAATGCAGGAGAAGACGAACAGTGTACCAGCAGCCTCATCAGCAGTAGATCTCAACATACACAAAGGGAAAAGCAAGATTCTCCAATACAACACATCACACAACAATCGAATCACACTTGATGGAGAAGATTTGGAAGATGTGAAAGCCCTTACATATCTGGACAGTATCATTGATGAACACGGTGAATCTGATGCAGATGTGAAGGCGCGGATCGGAAAGGCAAGAGCAGAATATTTACAATTGAAGAATATATGGAACTCAAAACAACTCTCTGTCAACAAACACCAAACTCAAAATTTTCAATACAAATGTCAAAACGGTCCGACTTTATAGGGCACGAACTTGGACAACTACGAAAGTCATCATCCAGAAGATACAGATGTTTATTAATAGTTGTCTACGCAAAATACTTCGGATCCGTTGGCCAGACACTGTCAGCAACAACCTGCTGTGGAAGAGAACAACCAGATTCCAGTGGAGAAAGAAATCAGGAAGAAGT